CAGTTTTTGAAGATTGTTGTTTGTAAAGAATAAGCAGCAAAAACAGCGCAGAAATTGTCGAATACACTGTAACGATAAGTGATGAAGAAATGGAAAATTTTATGGTGTCAGGCATTTTAAGTCCAGTAACAAAAGAGCGATGGTATGGCACCCTTAAAATGAAACTTCGAGTAATGTCCCGTGGAAAATAAAACAAGTGATGTTGTTCCGCACAACAACTATGTATGCTGTTCTCTATGGTACGATTGTAGACCGGTGTAAAAGAAGTCAGACCGAGTGAGAATGAGTATTTCTGCAGGCATTAACCACTGGACACTGTTTTTTTGCAAAAAAAGGAAAAAAAGGTTGAAATAGATAGCCGCTAAACATCTCAGTCGTTTATGAGTTTTACTCGCTTTTACAACTGAAGAGGGAGCATCAGAATCTGTTGGAAGAAGCAGGACTTAGTAGTAGTGTAACTGTTGTTATTCAAGGTGTTTTAATAGTTTATGAGGCAAAAAAAAAGAATATAATTAGCACTTTCTGACGACAGATTTTATTTTCTCATTTCTTCTCCACCCTTATTTCCATAACTGCTCTGTCCACTATCGTTGTTTTCCTACCTTCCCTGTGCCGCTTTTCTCTGAGTTGATCTGTTTGCTCACCGGTCGAAGAAAAACGATAGAAAGGAGGAAGAAAAAACTGCAAAAAATTACTAAAAATAGGAACTGCTTATTGAAAGTTTAACCAGTAGAAAGCGAACAGTGAGTAGGAAAGAGAGGAAAAGTGGGAAAAAAAGAAAGTAAAGAAAAATATAACTGGCACCAAAAAAGAAGTTATAATGTTGCCGAACAAAATATGCATAATTAAGGAGCAGTTTTTGTGACAAGTTAGATTTAAAACATCATCTATTCCATTCATAGCGACATTTTTTTCCTTCGTTTCTCGTTTTTTCTTTCCTTTTTTTTTGCCCTCTCCTTCGAATAAGAGACCAGAAAAACCAAGACACAGAGATGTTCGGCAATGATTAAATGACACTTAAAAATCTATTCTGACAAAAAAAAGCAAAAAATAAAAAAAAACACTACCACTACTGCTACCACAACCATCACCACCACTGTGAACAACAACAGCGTTGCGGTATTTAGCAGCATTAAAGCTTTTTTTTCCCATTAAATTAGGAGTTAAAAAAAAAATTTTTTTTTGCAAGACTTTTGTTCCTATTATTTACGCTTATTGATAAGAAACTGGAAGACAGAAATTAGAAGAAATAATAGAATTACAATTTGAAAATGAAAGGGCGAATCGACGAGAAAAAAGTTGTATTTTTTAAACTTTTTTTGGCTTCATTCTGTATCAAAAAAGAAACTTTGAACTGATAAGACCTACCGTTCCACTAATTTTTCACTAAAAATTGGAAAAAAAAAGAAAAAAAGCAAAAGAAAAATAGAACAGTAATGAAAAAAACCATCCTTATCCGCTATTATTGATATTTGTCAACCAAAAACATTGGCGATCATGATAACAGCTTTCCGCGATACCGGCAACAATGTTGTTTAATCTGTTTGGTGGTCTCATTCTTGTCTACTTAACCGTTCATCTTTCCTTTTTTTTTTGACAGTTTTTTCCATATCTCTTAATTCCTTCTGTTTATTTATTCCTCTCCTTTATTTCCATTTTTTTCCAAGATATTCAAGATATTTCTTTGACTTGGTATTCTTATCATTTGATGGGAAACAGAGGATGTGAAAGAAGAACGCGGAGTGGGCAGCAGAAATAGGAGGAAAAGAGGAGAAGAAGGATAACGACAATGATAAGTATCCACTAATAATTAGTGGCCGTGACAGATCTGCTGACAGTTCCAATAAAATCTGACTGATGATTTGAAGCCAATTTTAAACGCACTGTAATCACTTCAAAATTTTTACACTTCATAATTGACTAAAAAACCCCTTTCTCTTCTCGCTCTTATCCCTTCATCTCTGTCTGTTATCTTGTCAAAAAATCCACAGACGGAAAATTTTTCAATGACTGTAAGAAAAAAATCAAAAAAAGAAAAAAAAAA